ACAGCCCTATTTTGGAAGGCTCTTTTATTGCTGAACCATAACACCGTCTGGTTTTTAAACACAATCTTCCTCCACTCCTACACCTTCAATTTTATAATCAAAATAAGTCTTTAAAAAAAACCCAAATCTAAACAGTTTTAAAAAAAATTAAATTACAGGGTGCAAGAAAAAGATTTATAGAACAGAATATTTTAGGATAAATAATGAGGCCCACAAATATGTAAGGAGCAACCCCCTCTCAATCGGTGGGCTCTATTTTCTGGTAGAATCTCATTGAAGTTCCTATACCAGTGCAGAGGAGGGCTAAGTCTTCCTTGGTAAGTGAATAAGCTGATTGTATTGCAGGACAATTTCTACTTGATCTTCTTCCAAGTGTGCAAAGCACTAAGGGATTGAATTTAGGCAAAACAGTTGTCAAAGAGATCAGACCCGAGAGTTCTGCATTAAGAGCCCAAGTCCTAGTGCAGAGAGAAGTTGCATAAGCACTGCTTAAATCTGCTTTGTACCACAAAATGGGGCTGCGAGAGCAGGAAAGAATTTCCCCTCTGTTCAGAAGGCCTCAATATCAGCTGGCAGTTCCCCAGACAAAAGAAGGGAGAAGGACAAAGAAAGCACTCCAGAGAAAGGAGGTGGCATAGATCAGCATTAGACCTATGCTAACATAAAGCCCTCTATTGCAGAGGTGCAAAAATGAGAAAATAATCAAGACCCTTGCAGCTGGTGAGTTCATTGCCATGGCTGAATTCATTCAGCTGTGCAGGCATGTGATCTGGGACAGGTAGCCAATCTTGAACCTCAGCATCATGAGATGCCAGCAGTACAGCTTCCCCCATGGGGTTTTACTGCTGTAAGAGAGGGCCTTTGGCCCCACATGTTGCTGATTAGAGCTAATGAAGTCTCCTTTCCTAATCATCTCAAGAACTATTTCTGTGACTGACTGCCTGTAACTATCCCAAGACTGCGTCTGTGGTTTTCTGAATGCTACACCTCAGCAGGTGGATCATCGGGAAACCACTTGTAGCAGGCTGCAGAATGGCTTCATCACTCCCACCAGCTTGTGAGCAAGTAACACCGTTTGCAAGGCCGACAGATGGCAATCTTTGTATTCATTTGCTCTTGTCTATAACACTTTCAACTTAGTGTACATAACACCAGTTGCATCAGTCAGATGGGGTAGAACTTGTGTCAGCCTTGGCCAGATGATGTTTTGTTGTCCCTGGCTGATGTTTCCATTCCAGATGTCAACCAGATGTAGAGCAAGAAATAGGTCTACGTGAAAGTCCTCCTCTCACCAAGAAGCTCTGTAAACTTGCTAGACATGGAGAGGTGCTAAACTCAGTCAGCTGAAGCACAGGCCAATAATAACACCCAGACATCAGAATTTCACCGTGTCTCAAATATAGCCTAAACCTTTGGGGCTGACCAACTCCATCAGCACCTAGGAGGCTTAGCCTCAGATTAAAACATTTAATTTTAAAGTTTGTAATATTTATTTTTAAAGCCTGAAATGCCACATTGTGTCACCAGTTTCTAAGCAACGTTCCCAGGGACTCCACAGAAACAGTTATATTTAAAAAGTGAAGATTCAAATGAGGCCAACCTATTTATCAAAAGTGCCTTTCTATTTTAGGAGCTTGATCTGACTAACCAGGCACTGCTCTTTTTATTATGGGTCACTGCTTTTGCAAGCCTCCCTGTACTGACTCCTCTTCCTGCTTACATACAGGGGGCTGCAGCGCAGTTCCCCTGTTTACACTATTAGTTGTTATTTCACCAGCTGCTTGCTGGGTTATGACCCCAGTCAGACCACTAATAATAGCATCCACCCCTCTCAGGAAAGTGAGAAGCCAGCGGGGTTCAAGAAACCTGTCCCTTCTTAGAGCATCAACAATGTCTGGCTTCACAGGATTCAGGCTCTGCTGCTCTCTATGTTAATAACCTCCCACCGGCACCAGCAGAGGAACCTACACCTGCTTGTCTGGCTCCCAGCTCCCCAGCACTTGCAAAGCAGCAGATGCCAATTTTTCCAAGCTCCTTGCCTCCTTTCACCTTCCTTGTAAGCAGTTTCTTCCACACTCTCTGGAGGATTGCCTGGAAAGCTATTGAAAAAGAAAACTCTTCCCATTCGCTCCCCTGCCTTCTTGCTGCTACTTTATTTTTCCATGTTTTGTAGGACTGAGAAAGAATTCTAGATCAGGAGGTAGCTGACCTTCCCATTAATTCCTTAGCAGCTGAAATAGTGTAGTTGTGTGCACACTCCTTGACACACTTGATATATTTATTTTGAAGTGCAACGCCTAAAGCAGAATATAGAAAGACTCACACTACTGTCATAAGCCTTTAGAGAGCTGCACTTCTCAGCGATGTGTGCGGTTTTGATCTCAATTTTCCAATATAGATGCGTCCATAGGGATCCCATTCCATCATTTAGCCATGGCTTCCAGTCCAGCCAAGATTTGAAGACTAAGCAGTAGAAAACCACCACATTCTTGGGGAAGTTATCCCAAGGGTTATTTGAGATTGTTATCAAAAATTGCAAGTAATTGCTATCACTTAAAGTCTTTATTTGTCAAGATTTAATTCCTAATCTTTGGTTATCCTTTCTGCCTTCCTCTGCTGTATTAAGAACCCATTTATTTTCAGAAGTCCCTTTCCTGTCTATACATGAGAAGATCATGACTAAGGTGTGGCTGTGACTTCCATGGAGTTATTTCCCCACAACAGTTTCAAATCCAAGCACCAGGTCACTTTCTGAACCCTTTGGAACCCTCTTGAAAAGTTTGATGTGCGTAGCATTAACCACCTTATTGACGCTCCATGTGACCTTCCAACTTCTCACTGGCATGATGGCAGGCTGGCAGACCTTCTCCTTGCTGCATACCAGAAGCTTATTTCCAGTGGCTTATGTACTGTGACTTTTAAGACCCTTACCAAATAGCTGCCTTCTAGGATATTGTTCTTTATCTCACACAGGTTTCTTGCTTTTTTTTTTTCCCTTCTTGCTGTATCACCTGGCATTGGAAATATACGTTCACTTTACCAGGAGTCCCATGTTGGCCTGTATATATTATTTACTTTCTAAGAAATTCAGATGCCAAATATTTTTAGCAATCGTTTCACGTTTATTCCTTACCTCAGATAAAGATACTAACAAACATTAGCCTTGAGAATAATCCCCGTGGCTCCAGGTCTTGTGTACCAGTTCTTCCCTACAGCTGCCTTACAATCTGTCATCTTTACTGACCTGACACACTTTGATATATTTAAGACAGATTCTGCAACATGCTACTTTTTTAATCAGGTTGGGAGAGCAAAGCAAAGTCCTCAGAGAAATTCTTTAGCATATCTATAAATGCACAGGATAGACAGCAGAATACAGAAATCTGTTTCTTTCCTTTGTTGTCATGTACTGAGTTTCTTTCCCTTGGCTTCATTAGACCTATGCAAGTAAGTGACGTTTTGTCTCTGTGTGGTTTCAAATTATCACCAGAAACAAGAAAATTGAGGTTATTTAGTTTTGGGGACTTTTAAGATTAATTTATCCCGAAATAAATATTTGGCTTCAGCTTTGTAGGGTCACTTTTTAAAAAATCTTTGTAATAAAGCTGGAGGAAACATTGAAATGAAAACATCATTTTGACTTATAATTTCTTTTAAATGTCACAATGAATTAGTGTAACATTTAGAGACTTTTTTTCTTGTCCAAATTAATAAACCAGCTGACCTGCCACTAATTTAAGTGGAAAATGTCACCAATCCCTTGCTCTGCAGAACTCCATTTTTGTAATTCTTGTGAGAAGTACTACCCTCCTGCCTCCCAGCAGATGTAGGATATGATATTCTGGGAGAGGCTGAGCTTTTCTGCCCTCCTGTTAATGCAAGCACAGGCATTCAGCATCCTCCCCTACCTCCAGAGCAAACCACTGGCCACAGAATGCAAACTGTGGACACATACTAGCAAAACCACTACTAATGTTTATCAGTGCCATGGACAACTTACAAGGGAAAATGAAGCAAATAAGGAAAGAGAAATAACATTTTTTATCTTTGAAACATTAATTTTAAGGGAAGTAGAAGGTACACCTTCCCCTGCTGTCCCTAAGACAATTGAGGTCAAATCCAGTCTGTTATCACAGAAATGTAACAGCATCTCTCTAAATAAGTGACATCCTGGAAAACCGTAAAAGTAGTATTAAGGTCATAGATGTTTTTAGGTGTTATCCATCAACTACAATTAGCTGGTGTTTTACACTGAGAGTGCACGACACACTGAAGCCAGTATAAATCGGCTAAAGACCAGGTGCTGGCAGCATAGCTGTGCCAGTTTACGTCAGCTCAATAGAATGGTGTCATTTACACCATGAAGGGAGAGCAAAGGACGTGACCCTGTATTTACCCTTGTCTCTGTAAGTATTTTTGCACCTTTTCTTTTATTTTTTTTTCACTGCACATTCATGGGAAACATATACAACTCTAATTTTAGTAGAATAATCAAGGCAACATCCTAATCTCCTTAAAAACTACAAATTAACAACAGACATGCCCACACTCTGTTTGCAGAAAAATCTATATCGACACACAAGAGACATTAGTCAGAAAGTGAAGAGAAACTGGATTTCACTGGAGAACTCCCAGAAAGCAAAGAGACAAGGAAAAGGGGAACAGGAGGCAGAAATCTTGGGGTTAAAAAACAATAGCACTTAAATGCCAGAGCCGTTATCGACACTGATAGGGAAACGTGCTTCTCACAGGGCTATTTTTTATCCAAACGTGTCTGTTTAATGGAAGGAAAGAGAAAACCGAGGTTGTGGAACACCAGAGAGCTGAGATGTGTGAAGGAAAGAGTTAAAAGCTGGAGTCACCCTCTCCGAAGTGCTCTGTGATGCTGTGCAGTATTTCAGCCCCCAGAGCCTTCCTCCTCCTCCTCCCTCCCTGTGTCGGAGGCGGGTTCTGCTGAGCTGTTAAATCCTGAGTGAAGTTTCCCCCATTTCCAGTGGCCACTGTTGTCTGAGGCTGGTTCAGAGCAGGGCTGGGGTTACCCTGACATTTCTGGGACTGTGGCCAGCCAAGAAGTTTTTTTTTAGTCTTTTACAATTTGCTTTTGTCAAAGTGTGGAGGAAGGGGGAAAGGAAGCGTCTTTTTTTTTTCCAGCATCACATTCCTGTGTTTTCCTTCAGCCTGGAAAATATATTAATGCTGGTGCTTTCCTCTGGAAACAAAGGAGCTAAACGGGACTGAGGAAGCAAGGAGTGGGAAGGAGGCTTGGGAAATTTAAAAGCGAGAGACCTGGAGCAGCTGCGAGTTCCCTTTTCTTAAATGAAATCCCTGCCTATGTGGGTAACCCGTACAGCAAAGCGCCAGACCTGCAGGTAAATGGAGAAGCAGAGATCCCAAAGGAAATTTCCGCTAACCTCATCCCACTTGTCAAGAAGGTGAAGAAGAAAGAAAATTAAAAGCTACACTGGGAGACACACAAGGTCTGGGACCTGTTGGGCTTTGTAGAGATAAATCATTGGGCAGCAGCAAAGCTGTATGGCATCGGTCTCCTTTTAAAGGAAAAAGACGTGAAACCTCATCTCTGGAAGGGGAACTTCCCTGAGAGTGTAAGTCTCAAGCCAAATTCTTAGCTTTCTCTCTACGTATTGGATCCTTTCTCTTTGCATTTTTGCATGTGTGTAAGTGAGAGCGTGAGAGAGAGAGAGAGAGAGAGAAGGACGCAGATCACAGAGTCCTTTTGGAGAGGCAGAGTCATGTTACAGACAGATGATCTCATTTTTGCATAAAATGATCCATTTTGTTTTTTTCCAAAAATAACTGTAAACTGTACAAAGCCACCAGGGCAGGACTGAGGTGTAATCAGTGTTTTTAAATCACAAAAACTAGCCAGTCTGTGCTTTGCTTTTTCTATCACTTTCGCAAGGTATCATCATACTATTAACATCTAGCTTTTTCTCTTTCTCCTCCTCCCCTCAAGCAGATTGCACAATGAACTGGAGGCCAGCTCTCAGCTTAGCCCTGCTGTGGGCAGCGTGGCTAGTGTGTAGCTCTGAGAAGATGGGGAGACTAACAGAGACAGGAAGCCATGGGGTTAGGAAAGTGTCCCTGGCTCACAGGGCTCCAAGCAACCTCCACAGAAGGTCTGGAGCATCCCTGAGGATTTCGAGTCCAAACCTCCAACACCCCGTCACCAAGAGGGATTCTTCAGCTGCTCCAAAGGCACCTGCCAACCTCCTGCAAGGGGAAGTGCGTTCCCAGGCCAGGGGAGTGGGGACCAGAATGCGCCGGGTACAGAGACTCACAGCTGCAGCCAAATACTCCAAGTCTGAGATGATTAAGGATGAAGGGATATCCTCTGCCTCACAGTCACGAGTGGTACGTTTCCCTTCAGGGTCAAGTTCCCCCAATGTCCTGGCCAGCTTTGCTGGGAAAAATCGGGTGTGGGTCATTTCTGCCCCCCATGCCTCTGAGGGCTACTACCGGCTCATGATGAGCCTGCTGAAAAATGATGTCTACTGCGAACTGGCTGAGAGGCATATCCAGCAGATTGTGTTGTTCCACGAAGAAGGGGAAGAAGGGGGAAAGGTCAGAAGGATAACCAATGAAGGCAAAATCCTGGAGCAGCCACTAGATCCTGCCCTCATCCCTAAGCTCATGAGCTTTCTGAAACTGGAGAAGGGGAAATTTGGCATGGTGCTGCTGAAGAAAACTCTGCAGGTGGAGGAAAGGTACCCTTACCCAGTCAGGCTAGAGGCCATGTATGAAGTCATTGATCAGAGCCCCATCAGAAAAATTGAGAAGATGAGGCAGAAGGGCTTCATCCAGACTTGCAAAGCAGCAGGGGTGGAGGGACAAGTGGTTGAGGAAGGCAATAATGGGGGCAGCACCCAGCCTACCCCTGGTGGTGGACATATCCAGGTGTCAGCAAGGAAGGATGAGCCAAGGAAGAGCAATAATCAGCCAGCAAGAACCAAAACAGTGAGGAAACCAATGACAACCACAGTGGCCATGCCTCTGCCTACAATAAGGACCACTACCTTCCCTCCCACCACCACAACTACCCGCACCACTACCCACGCAGTGGCAACAGTAAGCCGGTCTACAACAACAACTACACCCCTCCCCACCACGCAGAGGACCTGGACCACAAAGTCACATTCCACCACGGAGTACCACAGGTTGCCAGTAGCCCCCGACACCACCACGCCACGAGTTACAGCCTCTGAGGATTTCTACTCTCCCGTGTGGAAGGCAAACCGCAGGGACCGGCAGCGCAGTCACTTGGAGAAACACTCGGCAGCCACACGGAAAGCAAGCAAAGCCACCCGCTATGACAGTTTCACAGAAGTCCCAACAGCTCCTTCAGTGCACTATACAAAGGCAAATGTGGGTAGATTTAAAGATAACCGAACAGACAGAAAGGACTATAACCATAGGGACCTGAATGTCACACCAGGGCAACACAAACCAATTAAGACTAAATCACCAAAAAAGAAAGCCCAAGAAAAGATACTGAGCAATGAATATGAAGATAAATATGATACGAGCAAACCTGCTAGTTCACATTTAGAGGAAGAGTTTGCAGCAGGAAATATTCCCCAAAAGAAAGGGAAAGAATCAAAGAAGCATGAGCGAATGGATAAACCTGAGAAGAAGAAGAAGAAGGACAGACCTGACAAGCTGCAGAAGGGTGACAAGCAGTCCAAAAAGGACAAAGCTGAGAAAAAGAGCAAGCAGGACAAAGACCGTAGCAAGAAGAACAAGAAGGGGAGCAGGACTGACAATGAGGATTACCCCAAGCCCAACAAAAAGCCTTTCCTACAACCTCCCAGAAAATCAGTGACTGACCTCCTGGAATATTTTGAAGGCAAAAGGCGGCTCATTGTAAGTAACTCGTTCATCTGAATCTTATTTGAAGTCATATCTCCCTCCTAGTAGGAATATGCAGAACAGAAAGTTTACGGTGGTTTTGTATTATTCTTTTTTGGTGCTTTTGTTTAAGAGGTAGAATATCTAGACCCAAACGATCATCTTCAACAGGAAAGGTTTCACAGCCTCGTGGTGGAAATCTTACAAGCAGCACAAACATACAGGTAGCGAGGAATTAGGCTAAAACCTCTTCCCAGTTGCTTCCATGAACTACCACATAGCCAGTAGATTTTTTTTTTTCCAGTGGATGTGTAGATGTCAGCCTCTGTATAGTTATGATCGATAAAATGAGGCTCCAGTGTGGATTACATCCATTCATTGCTTTGGGGTGCTTGCCAATGTTACCACATTTCGATGCTCAGCATGTCCTGCCAGCTGGCACACTTGTTTTATATTGGTGCTGGTGTCCTAAAACTGGAAGGAAGCCAGGTGGCTTGGCAGTACTAGCGCCTGTCTGACTGAGGATATGCACAAAGGCGTATGATCAGATGCCCTGAGGTAGGGTTGTTATATTTGCTGTTCTTTCTGATGGGAATTCAGCATTCAAATCTCCTAGACATCTTCAGAGATCTCATGCAAACTTTATTTTGTTTTGTTTTTTTCTTCTGCTGTTTTTATTAAACTGTAACAGTATGGTAAGTTTTCAAGCCTGAGAAACTCAGCATGGTCTGAATTACTTGTCCCAGGGTTTAATAGTGTTGTACATTTTTCTAACTACTTATCTAAAAAAACACTTCACCTGAGACAGGAAACAGTTTTAGCTGTAGTACAAATGTTTTTTCTGGCAGATGGCACATATCCTGAAAGGTACACTTTGCAAAACAGCTCTTTAAAAATATTATTGTGGGAGCTGTTTTCTTGCAATTATTCCACTGCAAGCTGGCCTGTTTCACAGTTATTGTCCAACAGTCAGTGTTACAAACATAGCTTTGGCTTTCATGCTCCATATTCCAAAACAAATAGCTAAGATGCCAAGCTAAGATTTCAACCATTTCAATCAATCATTCTGCTGATCATTCCCAGACCTGAGCAGAAGACAACTTTCTTCTCCCCCTCCCCATTCTTCCAGCTGTAGGGGCTGTGCAGAGCTAGCAGACTCACATTCCTCAGCATGTTGGAAGTGGACAAAAGGCACACATTTGAAAAAATTGAACTTGACTGAATTTTTAAAATAATGCCTGTTAGTTACTTTTTAACTAATACTTAGCTAAATTAAAAGCTCAGAGTGAGAAACTGCACAAAAGTTTGGGATCTTTGAATTTTGATCATATATCTCAACATTGTGGCTTCCAAGAGTATGTGTAGCATCAGGACAAACAAAAACATATTTTTAAAAAGAGCCAAAAGCAGAGCTCACAGATGTCAGGCTGTTAATCCGTAACACCAACACAGTCCTGTCCAACTTAAAGCATAGTCTGAAATTTGAACCTTCTAATACTAGGCCACCTCTCAGCTGGATCTCCAAGAAAAGAGTTGTACAATCTCAGGTTGTAAAGCCAACACTCACTGAAGACAAATGATTATGCCACACTGCGCTTCACTTTTCCGATATCTAATACCATCCTCAGCCTTCTTGGTCTGAAATTTCTTGGACAATAGGTTTGATTTGGTCATCAGTAAAAGCAGTGGCTGAACTCTGTCTTTGCTACACACGGCGCATGTGTAAAACTTCTCAGGCTTCTTTGAATCAACACATGTGCCTATTTGCATCTCTTCCTATCAAACTGTTCAGTTCCCTTAGGGTCAGTCCTTCCAGCTAGATAACTCTGTCATTCATGAGTCTTCAAGCTCGCTCTCTAGAGAATTAGCCCACAGAGCTGCAGAAGTGCCTCCACCTGAGTTATTCCCCATTGCTGTGCTATACTTTGTCTTCTGGCCACTTTAATAAACTGGATCCCGAGGACATTATTTCAGTCCTCTCCCAAAACTTTTGAGAAGGACATGGATTTTTAAGTCCTACATATTATTAAGGACTTCAGATTGAAGATATCAGCGTGAAACTCAAATATTGAGAATTTTGAAGGCTATTCTGGGTTAAGTCCAATTAAAGACAAATATAGGATCCAGCTACAGAAAGCGAAAAAATGTGTATGTTTTGAGTCCTGCAGCCCTACCTCTCTGTAGTAGGGCTTTTATTGCAGTCTTACTCATGTTGAGAAATCTTGGCTTAGTGAGTTTGGGTTTTCTGTTTATTTCTCTGTGGTGATGAAATGCTGACTGACAGTTCGTATATACAACACTCCATTTATATCCATATGCAACTATATGCACACGCACATGCACAAACGTACACATAAATACAGATAAATGCAGTGTATATACTGCTTGGGATAAAACATCCCTGGCACAAAGCTTTGATTTGAAGTTTGCTTTGCCTCATGAATGTTCCCTGCATTGTTCTACAAGGTTTGATGAAGTACATCAAACTCAGACTTTCCTGCTTACAGACTCTGAAACCAGGAGGACAATACAAACCAATGGTCTGGTTTTTATCTCAGTTCTCCAATATTTTCATGATCCTTTTTCCAATGAAAACATTTCTAGGCAATTTAAAAGCAATGTGTTACATGTCCTCTTTGTGCCCGACTCTCATTCAGCTTCGTGTCCCAATGCTAGAGTCATGCCAGGGAACCTTTGCATAAACAAGAGTCAGATCTTATAAGCCCAGAAATGCCTCTTACATTTCAGTACATTGGTGAACTGAATTTTTAAGGAGTATATCATAAAAATTACTCTCTAGGCCCTACAAACTTAAGAAGGGAGCTGGAAGATGATTGCATTTGTTATAGACAAAAGTGTAAGTTTGCAATTGAAGGATTCTGGTGATTATTTATGACTTTAAACCATAAAATTTGGATCCAGATTCCAGCTCTCTTTGTGTTTGGAGGATCAGTGGCAGGTGCTTGATTGCAGTTCACTGCTGCCAGTTAGAAAGATTACATTGCTGGAGCTGCAGCAGGTTCTGCTGGAAAGTGCTGCACATGTCCTCTGCATGTTGTTAAACACACACCTTCCCTGGAATACTTGTATCTCAGTCACTGACAAAGGACCTGAGGTTGTGTGCTTTAAACTTTTTAAAAGTCACATCTTTTCAGTTTTTAGGAGGCCTTGAAATAAGTTCTATAAACTGTGGAGATTTTTATACTTCTGTTGTTGAATTGTTTCCCCACCTGCTCTTCCCCCATAGCTATGCCTTCTTGGCAAAGACTAGTCCACTAAAACATCAAAATGGCTTAGAAGAAAAAAAAGCTAAACTAGCAATCTTCAGATGAGGTCACAGTGGCCTTAGCAAGTCTTCAAGGTCTTCTTATATGGCCATCAGTTACATAAGTATTTGTGTAGCTCTAGTTGATTCACTACTTGACAGTCAAAACCCTGGGAGCTCTGTCTGGACCATGGAATGAGGCCAGAGCAGCTGCCATGTTCACAATGCTCCCACTGTGAGTGAGCAGGGGGATTCCTAGATTCATGACACCACTGAAGGTTGTGAGGGAGACCTGGTGGGACTGGCAGGGCTGGATAGTAGAAGAGGACATGGGTTTCTGTAAAATCCAGAGACGTTTCTTCTGTCAGCACTGTGG